ACAGAGAACCCAGTACCAGCCACAAACAAGAGTCTGACGTGCATGCTTTTTATTCTCTGTCCTCTTTTCTTCATCAATGCTTTCTTGCCTACTTGGAGGGAAAAGAGGAAAGCATAAATAAATAAACAAATGTATACATACATGTATGTAATAATCTTGAGTGGGTCATGAGGGGAGTGCAGTCCCTAGGGTCAAAACTTCCATTTAATCAAGAACGGAGATAGGTAACACAGGCTACTCCAGCGAAAGCATCCTGTATCTCTCCTTACCGTTGCAGGCTTTGCCGCCCTCCTGATCCAGTCAGCTATGACATGGACAGAGGCCACTGCCTCCTAGCTATCAGAGTGATGGTTTTCAGACACCAGGGAGGAGGGAAGCCTCCAAACTGCTGCCTACAGATAAAAGGCTCTGATCATCATTAATAAGGCTCCAAGAGGCACTCACCCCTCAATTTTGCTTCAACCTGCTAGCTTTAAATATAGCAGTCTAGATGTGTGTTTTATGTACCTTTCATGTGCTGTTTTGCTTTAGGACATGCTTTCTTTCCCTCTAAATTTATTTTGGTTCTGTTTTCCCCACTGAGAATTATCAGTTCCTTTTTCTGGCTAAAGATGCCTTTTTCCTCCTTCTTAGTTTATGGATTTTCATGGCTATGCCTTTAGATAAAGTGAAACATGTTGGTATAGTGTCCTAACCTTTTCCCTCTCCTTAAAAATGAGACGCAACCACAAAATATTTCTGCCAAGTTTAAACCAAAATTTTGACCAAAGCAAATAACTAAAAAAACCTCTGTAGGTAATTTTATTTTACCAGAAAGCCCAGGTTGCAGACAGATACAGATGTCCTTGTCTGTATTTTTCTTTATAGAAATAATTTAATTTATAAGTGGATTCACTCTGGGTTGGGTTTTTGTCCTTATTATTTACTATTTCCCTTTTCTGAGCAGTCTGACCTTTGGAATCATTTCTGTAGAAATCTTATTTCCATGACAGACACTGTCAACATTATCCAAGGCCACCTGGCATAAACAGCCTAAATTCCTTTATCTCAGCTGATAGCTTCTGGACCTCACTAAACAATTCCTTGGTATTATTCTATTCAGCATCATTTCTATTTTACTCAATCTCATATCCATGAAGCAACTGGATCTCTCATTTGGCTCAGGGAATAAAAAAATGAAGCTAGAGTCTTTCCATTCCTTGAAAAGGAGAATATAAAGTTGTAGGGAAACCAGTCTTTTTTTTTTTTTTTTAATGTTTTTATTTATTTTTGAGAGAGAGAGGGACAGAGCACAGGCAGGGGAGGGGCAGAGAGAGAAGGAGACATAGAATCCAAAGCAGGCTCCAGGTTCTGAGCTGTCAGCACAGAGCCCAAGGCGGGTCCAACCCGTGAACCACAAGATCATGACCTGGGCTGAAGTTGGGCTCAACCGACTGAGCCACCCAGGTGCCCCCTAGGGAAACCAGTCTTTAAAAATTCTTTGCTGTTTTCAATACCTACATAAGTCAGACTTTTGGCAGAGCCAGAGGGAAAGACTCAAACAGAACCCATTTAAGAATTAAACTGAGGGACTGAGTTTTGCTTAAGGGAAGAGTTAAAGACCCCAAGGGCATGGCAGTAAGACAAATTGGCGTTCTCATTGTTGTTTATCTCTAGAAAACATTTGATTGGAGAATACAGAACCACAGACTAAGCAGCGTTCGGATTCAACTAAAAGAGAACCTTTTCTAAACCCCATATCTCCACAAGAGTGGAGTTTAAAGGTGCATGGACTGGTGAAACCGAGAGAAAAGAGTAAGATGAATGAGCACGGCTGCAAGAGTACCACACCCGCTACGTGGGCTCTGTGTGCCTGGTCTTATTGCAGCTGCTCCCAGGGCCACAGCAGGCTCATAATCATGGACAATGAGGAGCAGCTGAGAGTAGCCAAAATGGAATCCGGGCTGTGTTAGAGGCCATGTAAGAGACGGTAGCATTCAGTCTTTAATCTAATCCATTCATCAATCATTCATTCTTCTGACATAGCTGCTATTTGAGCAGAGGAAAAAGAGCCTCATAAGTGACTTAAGGCACTATTCTTGGTTGTGTCACATGCCATATGAATGTAGTCCTTTGCATTCTCTTACAGCAAAGGATGTGGAGAACATGGTAGCTCTAGAGTAACCTAATGGTGCTAATGCTGAGACTGACATATCATCTTATCTATAAAATGGGCCCAAAGGAAAGCAAACCAAGTGAGTGTTTGCTCTTAGTAAATGAGCACATCTGTCACTTCTCATGAGAATAAAATTTCCAGGCTTCATTTGTTTTCCCATATCTTTTTATAGTTTGCAATGCTCCTGTGAAAATGATATAAGTAGCCATTATGGACATGTAAAGCCTTTATCCTTATTAAAGCAAATGAAAATATATTCTTCTGATTTTTAATATCATAGTATTGACCATGTCCAATGATTACAACGTGTGCTACTTTCTTTATATTTACTAAAACTGACTGAAATTCTACATCTCTGTCTCTATTCCAGCGAAGTTAGTGGCTTCACGACATACTGTGTCTCCTAAAATGTTCAATATTATAGCCTTCAAATGCTGAATCTAAGATCCAGCAGTCTCCCAAATTTCCATGGCCTAAGAAGCCAGACACATGGCAGAAGTAGTGTCGAGGACAGAGACAGAAGACCAGTGTCCAAATTCTATTTCTATGTAACATTGGGGCATCTCATTGAAACTCAGTTTCTTCGTCTAGAAAATGGGGATAAGAGTGGCTTCCTATTTTATAGAGTAGTTATAAAACATGAAAAGGCAGAGCCCATGGAAATGTTTTATAAACTAAAGTGCCATACAACTATGAGATATTACTTTTGGTCAAGGAATATTTTTGTTTCCATCCACCCATGAGTAGCAAGAAAATTTCTGCATATGCATGTACGCACATGTGTGTTTATATGTACCCATGCATGTGTATACATGTAACATGTCTCACACACATGTATTTACACGCACACATGTGTGTATATGTGCACATATAAATGTATTAGGGGAGGGGTGAGAGGGTTTTCATCTGCATCTGAAAGGAAGTCGTTACCTAAAACTGGTTAAGAGCCTCTGGTATGGACGATGCTCCACCCCATCAGCCATTAGAAATATGCAAATTAAAATCACCAGGAGATTCTACTACATGCCCAGTAGGATGGCAGCTATTATCAAAAAGACAAGCACTACAGACTATTGGTGAGGGTGTTGGGAATCTGGAACACTCATAGACTACTGGTGGGAATGTAAAATGGTATAGCCGCTTTGGAAAATAGTTTGGCAGTTTCTTGTAAAATTAAACCTACGATGTGACCCAACACTTTCACTCTTAGTAATGTACCAAAGAGAATGAAAACATATGTCCACACAAAGACCTGTACACAAATGTTTATAGCAGCATTATTCAAAATAGACCAAAACTTGAAAGAAAAATCACCATTATCTTGTGAATGGACAAACTAAATGATGCATACCTGTATAATAGAATAATAGCTCAGAAATAAAAAGGAATGAAGAACAAATAAATGCTACACTGCGGATGAAACTTGAAAACATTACACTAAGTAAAAGAAGCTAATCACAAAGAACATAGTATATGATACTACTTATATGAAATGTCCAGAAATGGCAAATTCATAGGAATAGAAAACAGATGTGTGATTACCTATGATTGGAGGAGCAAGGGTGGCAATTGACTGCAAATGGGCTGAAAGAAAATTTGGAGATTGATGGAAAGTTCTAAAACTAGATTGTGGCAACGGTTTCACAACTCTGTACCTTGCCTAAAAAAAAATCACTGAGTTGTACGCATATAGTTAGTGACTTTATTGTACATAAATTAAACCGCAATATAGTCATTTTTAGAGAGGACATGAATAGTGGACAGGATGTTTTGAGATATAATTGTAAAAAAAATATAACAAAATATTTACTTGTAAAATTATTTTACTCTTGCATACATAGGTGGTATTTTAAAATACTGTCATTTAAAGAAAAGTGTTCTTGATTCTCTCTGTGCTGCAGTTTCCTGATCTGTAAAATAGAGATGACAAAAGCAACTACCTTGTAAGCATTTGTGAAGCAAAACCAAATAAGAGATGTGAAGAATTTAGAAGAGAGCCATACGCAATAAGCATGGAGTACATGTTAATTGTAGAAACTAACTAGAGATCTCATGTCACTACCAACCACATATATTTTGTAATGTGAACTTATTTTTTTAAGAAGCTTTATTTTGTGATGGAGTGCACACATGTGCACATGTGCACACACAACTGGGGGAGAGACAGAGGGAGCGGGAGAGAGTGAATCCCAAGTAGGCCCCACGCTGTCAGTGCAGAGCCCAATGCAGGGGTCAAACTCATGATCCGCGAGATCATGACCTGAGCTGAAGATGGACTCTTAACCACTGAGCCACCCAGATGCCCCTATAATGTGAATTTAATTTTTTTAATGTTTTATTTATTTTTGAGAGAGAGAGAGTATGAGTGGGAGGGGCAGAGAGAGAGGGAGAGACAGAATCCAAAGAAGACTCCAGGCTCGGAAATGTCAGCAGAGGGCTGGCATGGGGCTTGAACCCATGAATTGGGAGATCATGATCTGAGCCAAAGTCGAATGCTTAACCAAATGAGCCATCCAGGCATCCCAATGTGAATTTCTTTTAATGTTTTTTCTCATAGGAAAAATGGGCATTAATAATTAACTATACTTTCCCAAGTTGGCATAAATAAAATGCATATTAATAGAGGGTATTCAAAAGGGATGTGGAAAAATATAATAGCTGGAGATTTGGAGTTCCATGGAATATATCATGGGGAGCATAATCAACAAAAACTCATTCGGGTTATAATTTCATTTCAGATCATACAGTCAATTATAAAAAAAATAACTTCAGTCCTCCTTTCTTCACTCATGTTCACTCTTATCTGCTTAGTTGCAGCGCTGAACCTCTTCCTTATCAATTACAGGATGAAGGAAAATGTTCGCCTCTAGAAGTAATAAAATTAGAAGGTGCAGAAGTTGGCATTGATAGCAGTTTGGGAAAACCATTTGTGTTTAACTGTGTGCCTCAGTCTGGAAATAGAACGTTTTGCTTCTGTGCAACCTCAAACCAAGAAATGAAAAGGTAATTCATTAATCTGTGATCTTACCAGTCTCACTTTGGGTGGAGGAATGCTTCTTCAGTAGCAGTCTTACTGATTTGGGGGTTGGAAGTAGAGAAGGGAACAGCAAGTTTATAGTGTGAGTCAATCAACTATCTTTTTATTAGGTATGAAAAGTTGGGTCCTTCATTATTCCCCCAGTTTTTTTTCTATCAGAATTGCTAAAGAACTGAAACATTTTCTCCTAATTCATTCACTTTAGATCTCCACATTTTCTAAAAAAGCTTAATAGTGTCACGGTCACATCTAGCTTCCCTAAGTTACCAGGTTTATATATTTTAAGCCCATCAGATTGATAGTCCTAGCTATAAAAATAATGTAGTAGGGTTGCAATTTAGCACACTACAGGGAGATGAGCAAAATAAATAGTAATAATGTAGCTTTGTGGGGAATGAATCCAGTTGACATTTTTAAGCATACAACCCAACTGGAGGGGTAGAGGTATGCAGGCTTTCTAAGAGGGTAGCCTACAAATTCTAAGCATTTAGTGGCTTATGATCATTACTTCACTGTATCACCCTAAGGGAATGGAGATCACTGGTCAATCCAGTGAGTCAACGGAAAACTGCAATGTAAGTGCTGCTAATTTAGGGTGAAGGTACGATGGAGTAGAAGTAAGGGAGACTGAAAAAAGGTAAGAGGTCAACGGTGTTGAGTGTTTCTTTAGGAGGAATTGGACTCAGTTCCAATCCTAGGTCTGATACCTCTGAGACAAACAATATACTGTTCCTACTTGTAGAACATTATTAATTCAAATGCATGTTGCTTTAAAGGACAAAGAGGGAAATCTGATGATGGTAACCTGACTGTATTTCAATTCAGGAACAAAATATTTGTTGGTTAGCTAATGTGCCCAAGACAGTGTTTTAAGTTCTCCACAGACTATTAGTATGATTAAATGCCAATTCTTGCCCTCAAAAAAGCTCAGAACTAAGAAGATAGGGCATTTGGTTGAATATTTGTAATGCCAAAGAAACATTAAGAAGTGCTATAGGAGAAGACAAAGTGGCACGGGAACTGAGTGTAGGGAGTGAGGATCTCCCAAGGCGGGGATGAGGGCAGAGTTTACAAAGGGTGTGGCACAGGATCAGACAAGCGTGCAAAAGAAGAAATGGAACGGAAAAAGGCAGAGGGAATAAATCAAACTTTGGGGAGAAGAGCAAGCTGTATGGTTTGACTGAAAGTTACAGGGTTTAAAAGAAAATTTAAAAGATTGGCAAATGGGGTGGATAGGCTGGTAGCTGGCTAAGGAGACAAGACTAAGAAAATATAGTCCTCAAGTAGGAGCACTAATGGTGCACTAAATGTGTCTACTCTGTCCAAGGAACACTTGGGGAGGGAGCTAAGGACAGTGACTGCCAGTCTTTCCATATTGTAATAGCCAGTGCCTTATAGTTATTAACACCAAATCGTTACTAGCCCTGCTGGTGGTAATTAATTCACATGCCTTGGTAAAATAAAGAGTGAAGAAATTTTATCTTAGTCACTAATTAAACAGTGGTAAAGGAGAAGGATAATAATTTATTTTAAATATGCCTGGCGGAGGTGGGATTTTGCCATCCAGTAATACCAATTTCGTAAGAATGTGTTGCCTTTCGACCATCATCTTCCAGCCGTGAAATATATCTGAGTCTCAGGACTATTCTGTCTGGAAGATGGGTTTGCAGGGAGAAGAGCAAGCCCCTCCGAATGATACTTATCCAGTCCCCAAAGGAGAGTTCCTCTCATTTTACTGTCTTTCAGGTGGCTGGAGGCCATGGACAAAGCAATCCATCCTGTCCGCCAGGTAAGGTATCCTTGATATTCATCTCTGCCTTCATCCTGCTCTTCTCCTCAGAGGGGGAAAGGATCAAGTCAAATGTCATGCAGTTCACCCTGGGACTTCTCAGATCTGCTCTAAAAGCTGGGAAAGAGGATTTTAAGTTAACAGGGATTTCTATTCAGATTCCATGAGGGAACTTGCATTCCTGCTGTTCTTTTTATTTTCAGGGGTTTGTGTGACATTTCTCTCAGTGAACTCGCTAGGTAGTCACAAATTGGGGTGGGATTTCCATTTTACAGGGAGCAGTCCAGGAGGTTAAACCACTGCTTCTGTTTTCTTTTCAATCCCCAAGTACAAGATCTCAGGAATGTCCTAGGATAGAGCTGTAGGCTGAGCAGCATGTTAGAAATTGCATGTCGCATGTTCAGAAATGCACTGCTTAATGTTCATACCCTTGTTTTGGACACATATTAGCCCAACTTTCACTGTTCCTACCTGTTCAAAACTCCCAGTCTTGCAGCAATATACTTTCTAATTTGGGCTTGACCTTTAACTTCCTAACATCAACAGGTGAGTCATTCCTTTAGCCCCTAAGACATTTGATACCCCACTTTCTGAGCTAGTGCTATCACCTGGCTGGTGGGGAGGGGATTGCTTTTGTGCCCAACTGTTTCCTTTTTATGCTATGTGTAAGATTTCTAATAAGGTCATACACTTCCTTTAAATATGCTCATTTCCTCGCCAAATGTCATACAAGCAAAAGGTATTTACTATCCATTATCTTCTCTACATGCTTCGGCTCTTACACATTCAGGGAAATTTGGATTGTTTGAGCTTAAATGTACTGCCCTGTGTCCTATAAGTGTCCTTTCTGAACAATCACTGGCATCATCATATGAGAAACAGCAAGACTTGTGTTTCATTTTACCTGGAACACAATGCTCAATACACTCATCCATCTCTCCAATGTGTCATCCTAACTAGGCTGATATTTGTAAGAGGGCTCTAGTCGGCTGATGCGTTCAGGGTGTCTGTAGCAGAATGAAAAAGGAACACCCGAGCTCCCCACAGGCTCCCTCTTCACAGCAAAGAATACAGCCGGCTCTGCATTCTGGAATCTTCTGCACTGCCTTTTTAAAACTAAAGAGCAAAATAGAAACTAAATATGGAAGAGAAACTGGCCGGCACCTGGTAGGGCATTGTGATAACGAGATGAAGCATTGCATCTACTGCCTCAGGTCAGGTTACAGGGAAAGCCTGCCTCTCAGGCCTATGGACCAAGGACTGCCCTCCAGGGTAGAAGATCTGGATATATCATGACCTGGCACATCACTGACCATGTGAGCTTAAGGCCAGATCTGGCCTGGGGCCTTTAACTTGGTCCTTTGCACAAATGGGAGTTCTAAAGTGAAGCATGAACCAACGGCTGCTATTAGACACAGTAGACATGCCAGGAACAGGGGTAAGAGGACAATCCCAGTGGTCAGTGAAATAGTCTTTTGATTTCCTGACACTAGAACAGAAATCAAAGAGAAGGGACATGAATTCAGGTTTTCTGGCTAGTTGCTCAAGTATTAGATTGCCTTGGCAATAGAATCACTGAGGGCAGTGCCTTTTCTGAAGTCAAACAGACTTAGTGCTGATGTCATTGGCTCCTGGGAGTCAATGACCACTGGCACAGGATGAGGACTCAGATGATCCCTTTGTGCTACACTTGCAGAACCATGTCTGGGAAGACGTTACCCTGCACAACAGTAACCTCCCACCCCTGGCTATCAAGAACCCAGAGTGCCTAGGCCTTTTGCACCAACTGGACAGAAATACAGATATGTGGGTCCAGCACTACTGCATTCTGAAGGATGGCTGCTTGTACTTCTATGCTAGCATTCGCTCCACCCAGGCCTCAGGTATGGACTCAACTTTCACTTGAAATAATAGTAATTACAATAGTAATAGGAGTGACATCCTAGCTTTATGGACCTCTTACCAAGCCTTATACTGTGTGCCTTACCTAAATTAGTTCATTTATCCTCCAATGAAGAGATACTGTTATTATCCTCCTTTTACAAAGAAGAAAACTGGCTGGAAAGTCTACTTAACTTACAAGATCACACATAGTAAGCAACGAAGCTGAGTTCTAAACAGCCAAGCCAACTCCAGATCCTGTAGATGTAAACCCAAGCTTTTTTTTGCCTAGAAAAGCAAAAGTAAGCTCCTTCATTCTTTTGGTTACTGATGGCATTCAGAGTTTATGTCAATAACTTTCTGCTAGGAACTCCCTTTTGTCAGAACATTCCTAATGTTGGACAAATGAATAACAAAAGAAACATTAACTGTCACTTTTCCTTGGGCAAGTTACTTCACTTCCTAAAACTTACTTTCCTCATTGGTAAAATGCAAATAGCTATTTCGAAGGACTGTTGTGAAGATCACACAAGGTAATTGTTATCAGGGTGACTTAACCTCTACATGTAAAGCTCTCTCTATAAAAAGCTCTCACTCTAAAAAATGTACACATTTACATACTTATTAAACTATATATATTAAAAGCTATATATGCAAAATGGGCATATAAACAATATGATTTAATAATTTGGTTTTTTTTATTTTAAGTTTATTTACTTATTTTGAGAGAGGCAGAGAGAGCAAGCAGGGGAGGGCAGAGAGAAAGAGAGAGAGAGAGAATCCCAAGAGGGTTCCACACTGTCAGCACAGAGCCCGATGTGGGACTTGAACTCATGAACTGCAAGATCATGACCTGAGCCGAAACCAAGAGTCAGACGCTTAACCGACTGAGCCACCCAGGTGCCTCTTTGATAATCTAATAATAAAATAGTTGTGTCTGATTTTGACAAGAAATATTTTGCCTTCTTGTAGTCTTTTTTAAAGATTTTATTTTCAAGTATCTCTATACCCAGTGTGGGGATTGAACTCATGACCCTGAGATCAAGAGTCACACGCTCCACTGAGTGAGCCAGCCAGTCACCCCTAGACTTTTGCAGTTTTTGACAAAAGCGATTATTGCTATTTTATTTGCACTTGGATTTTTTTCCCCAAATGAATAACCTTAGTTAGCAGTAGTAAACATCCTGGAATCCCAGTCATTTAATTATTTTTTTTTTAGCATTAATGCTTATGTTTATTTAAGCTAGACAGCCATGCCAAATGGGAAGGAAGTATCTGGTGACCATTTCAGCCTTCTTGGAAAGTACAAAAGAAGTACGAGGTGAATATCACACTGTGGTCCATTTCTTATCACTCAGGATGAATGATATAATGATTCTCTTTCACTTATTCAACTTTCCATTTGAGAATATTATAACATGACCCGAAATATTTTCAACTATTAAGAGATAGCCAGCATTTCTAAGCACTTACAGAACAGGCTGTTGCTATTTAACTCCAAATCCATAGTTGTTTTTTTTTTTTAAGTTTATTTATTTATTTTGAGAGAAAGTGAGAGTGGGGGAAGGGCAGAGAGAGAGAAGGAGTGAGAGAACCTCAAACAGGAACCATGCCGTCAGCACAGAGACCACCACAGAGCTCAAACTCACAAACCATGAAATCATGACCTGAGCCAAAAACAAGAGTCAGAGGCTTAACCAACTGAGCCACCCAGGCACTCCCCAAGTCCATAGTTTTAAGCACCTGATACCAGGATGGGAATGAAGGTAAATAAAACAAAACTCCAAAGTAGTCATGGATTGGGATTTTTATTATAAAATATCACCACAAAAGTCTGAATCATTTTAATTTCCAAATCATTCATGCTCATTTTTAAGAGACTGTTTCCATAGATTCAAAGGGAATGTTTAGGATTGATGCTTAGATTATTCCAAACTGAAATATAAACAAAGTGCTTCCAAACCCCTGGGGCCCAGAGACTGCTACTGATGCCAAGTTTAAAACAGTAATAACAGCCACTAGGTGGCTTCCCTTATTCTGAAAAGTCAGAAGGAGGTCCTACTTAGAAAAGTTCTACTTGGAGAACTGGAAAGTGGCTACTAATAAATGGCCTAAAAATAATAACAAAAGTAGAGTTACCATTTAGTAAGTCCTCCTTTTGTATTGGTCACTCTGTTAAGTGTTTTTACTTACCATTTTATTTAATTTCAACAACACTCTCAGAAAATAGGCTATTATTCCACCTACCAGTTTGCAAACCAATGCTTAACAAGGTTAAATCATTTGCTTGTGGTCCCCTGGGTAGTAAATGGTGAAGAAAGAATTTGAACCCAGGTAGCCTAAGTTACACCAATAAAAGAAAAAAATAGACAAAAATGGACATCTTCTTTATATTCAGCTCTTATCATTTCACACATCTTTCTAGAACCTTCCATGGTTCTTTGTTGACTCCATAGATAGTACTCTAGAGTTTTATACTTTGTCTCAAAACCCTTCTCTCTGGTTTTCTTTTCCACTCCTTGTGTTAAAGCACCTTGCACTCCAATCAAACATGGTCATGTTCTATTTCCATAAGTCACCACACATCTTAAACCTTTTTCTGGCACCATGTCTTTGCTTTTTCTAGTTCCTTCCCCTGAACCGGTGTATATCTACTGATTCCTCAACACAACTTGTTCAGATTCTACCTGCCCTTCAAATTTTTATTCAGTCACCAGCCATCTCTCCTGTCAAGCAATCCCACATGGTCTTAGACAAAGTGCCTCCCCTCTCTGAACTTCCACATTTACCCATCTTGTGACACTTACCACTCTCTACCTTGTATGTTACCTCCAGAGAGCCATATTATCTCTTCTAAGGGACTATATGCTCCAAAGATGACCCTATACTATGTATTTTTAATGAATGAATCAATGAATCAATGATTAAATGACCCCAAGTGGCCATTACTCCCATGAAGTGTGAGTAGTTTGTCATCCCCTCATGTAATAGTAGAGAATGGTTAGAAGATTGGAAAATCAATTCAAAGGCAAAACCAGAACTCAGGCCACCAGATGCCTAGTCTTTCTGACACATCATACTCTTTCTAGCCCTAGGAAGTTACCTAATTTCTATCTATTTTTAATTCCTCTCTTTAAAAAGATCATTCTGGGGCGCCTGGGTGGCGCAGTCGGTTAAGCGTCCGACTTCAGCCAGGTCACGATCTCGCAGTCCGGGAGTTCGAGCCCCGCGTCAGGCTCTGGGCTGATGGCTCAGAGCCTGGAGCCTGTTTCCGATTCTGTGTCTCCCTCTCTCTCTGCCCCTCCCCCGTTCGTGCTCTGTCTCTCTCTGTCCCAAAAATAAATAAACGTTGAAAAAAAAAATTAAAAAAAATAATAAAATAAAAAGATCATTCTGTGACTAATAAAAATATTTAATCAAGCCCATTCATTCTTAACCAGCCATACATCTTAAATATTCCTATGCCCACGGGCCCTCCATTTCTAGCTTAAATTATCTCAAATATGGATTAAAAGAACATTTTTCTTACTGAAATTCCAAAAGAAAATGCTATGTCTAGGCCATGTTCTAAAATCGAGGCCTGTGATTTAGGGTTTTACATGACTCTACTCTTTCCTGAATAAAAAGTGCCATTTGCCTAAGCATGCACCTTGTGTCAGAAAATACACTTTACTTCCACCTCCTCCCCACTCTCACCCTGACAGCTGCTGGGTCCGGATGGAAGCTCTCCCAAGGTTAATCAGCAGCTCACTCTTCATTAGCATTAAGGTGGCTGTTCAGGAGCTCTTCTGGGGTGCTTTACCCTTCCCAAGATTGGAATTTTGCATTGAGGTTTACATTCTTTTCCTAAGAGCCCTTCTCAATCTTATACATCTTAACTTGCATCGTGACCTGAGGCCCGTAGCCAATGATCCGGCACAGTGAGACCCAAGCTGAGACAGAGGCTATCTAAATCTCCTGTGGAAAATCCCCAAAAGAGAAATGCTTCTCTCTACTGTCCACTAAGAATCACTGCCCTGGGGAGCCGCATTTCTTTGAGAGGCCTGGATCATTCTGCTCAGGTGTATTGGTGGCAGAAAGTATGTCTCACTGAATGCTTCCTGTGTGTCCAGCACTTAAATAAGTACTTTATGCTCATCATCTAAAACTAATATTTGCAAAATATCCACGGTTATTGCCCCATTATAAGTCAGAAACTAAGGCTTAGAGAAATTAACTAACATGCTGATGTGGTCACCCAGCTGTTAGGGGACAAAATTTGAGCAAATGCTATCCAAATCCTTATGCCCAAACTCTTAGCCATAATGCTATATATAGCACTCCCTGCCAGAAATTAGTCTTCTTAAAGTAGTACTCAGTATTTGGCATCTAGTCTCTGGAAATCAGCACATTGGCTGCCATAGCCATGATCCGCACAGTCCAACTATTTATCACAACTGGGAATTGTAAGGACAGTGAAGAAATTATTGAGTTAGGGCTGAACCTATGCTGTGCCACAGGCACTAAAATGAATCAATTAAAAATAAAATAAAGTACTCAGTTGAATGTAATCATTTTTATATGCATGGAATGTGAATCATTATATTTATAAAGATTGTACAGAGTTCTAATACTTATACTCAATTCTTCCAGGTTATGCTAAGTGAATGACCTTCGTGCTGGTCTGATCTATAGTTCCTCCTTCACTTGTATTGTCCAAGCTCTGCTTGGCTCTTGCATATCCTACCCTTGCTTGGTTCCTTGTTCTCCAGCCCAGTGAAACAGGCTGTGGTTACTATTTATAGCATTATTCGTCAAACCACAGGTTTTTACCCCCTTACTGAGCCATGCAGTCAATGTAGTAGGTTGTGGCGAGTATTTAAAAGTACAACAGAATAAGGGCTCCTGGCTGGCTCAGTTGGTTAAATGTCCAACTTTGGCTCAGGTCATGATCTCACAGTTTGTGGGTTTGAGCCCCATGTCGGGCTCTGTGCTGACAGCTTGGAGCCTAGAGCCTGCTTCGGATTCTGTGTCTCCCTCTCTCTCTGCCCCTCCCCCGCTCAGGTTTTATCATTCTCTCTCTTTCTCTCAAAAATAACTAAACATTAAAAAAAAAAAGTACAACAGAATAGAACTTAATTGAATAGAAAATATCATGGTACATCACAATGTTCCACAAAACTTTTGGTCTAACTGTATGAAAACCCATAGAGCTCTGTATTTATCACATCTTTGGATCACAGGCAAAAAGCCTGGAAAAATACTCGTATACAAATCATTGTCTCTGCATTCCTGGTCAGTTTTGTGTTCAGAATCTTAGGTTCTTTCCTTTCAATTATCTTTGTCATCCCCCTAGGATATTAGTTGCTTTGTTATTAAGACTCAACTTTCTGTGGTCACCACTTCATAGAGACATGGTCCCCTGACCACAGCATCTCAGAGGCTTTACTGCTTTATTTTAATTTTATTTTATATTAATTTTATCCAATTGATTTCTCTTCTTTATAAGAGATCCCGGACACCTCACATGATATTTCTTCTAAAGATATGTGTAGTATTTGGGACCTGACTTATTTACTGTAACAGTCACCTGAGGGACTGAGACAATCCCGGGGACAGCAAAGAGAAGGCAGGGAAACGATAACAATGAAAGGGGAAAGTACGCGACGTGAGAAGCCACATGGCCCTAATTTCCTGGAAAAAACAGGGTAGATGCGAATCTCACATTGTACTTTCAGCTAGATAAACATGCCTCTAATGTGTATTGTAAGAGTTGTAGAAATAGCACTGGTCAGCTCCCTGAAGTCTGTGCTTACTGTCAAGGAAAGTGCTCGTACTTTAACAATATGCATCACTGCCTCTCCTATGCTGGCTAATATTAAAAAGCCACTGTACAAGTATTTCCAAAAGCCCTTTGGTCAAATGCCTCTTCATAGGCCCTCAGGCTCCTTGTCATTCACCATATACTTGATTTTTTTCCCTCTTATCTCTCTCCAGCAAAAGCTGAAAGTAACAAATTGTGACTTAACTATTGTTCTTGAATAAATCACATCAAGGTCTATGTGCACTTCTCAGATATATTTTACATTATTGCAACAAATGGAACACTTAATGCTTGCATAGTTCTTCTGAGAAATCTCTGTCCAAATGTTGCGCCAGCTTGCTATTTATTGCTGCTACTTAATAACAGATAGAGACTGGACCAATGAGGTCACCTCAAATGAGGTAATAGGGTTATAGTCAGACGTCTTTACTGCCAATCATTTCTACCCTGCAACTGGTTAGAAAAGGGGTCAGAAACTTTCCTGTTTGTAGCAGACATATTTTTGGACAAAACTTTCTATCCATTCTCAAAAAGTCTAGGGACAGAAGAGGGTATTCATATCTGCTTAGACATATGAGAAAGGGAAATCTCACAAGAAAGAAGACATCAGAAACCAGTACAGTAATATAAATGCATTGTGCTATTGTTGGGAGCAGAGAATTAAGACAGCAAAATAACCCTTGGATATGTCTTTGGGTAGCCTATAGTCCTGACACATCTAGCACATTGCTTATTCTACTTCCAGGATATACCCCAAAATATATATCTATGCAAAAATTTGTATACAAGTATTTATAATGTTAATCATTATAGTCATGAAAATGAAGAAAACTCAAATGTCCATCCATGAACTAACGAAGAGATAAATAAAATGTGGTATACCCATACAATGGAATATCATTTATCCATAAAAAGGAATGAAGTACTAATACATGACGCAACATGGATGAACCTTGAAAACATCATACCGGATAAAAGAAGCCAGTCACAAAAGACTGCATATTGTATGATTCCATTTATATTAAGTGTCCCAGGAAAAGCAAATCCATAGAGATAGAAAGTAGGTTAGAGTCACCTAGTGTTAGGTTGGGGCAGCAAATGGGGAATGACTGCTAATGGGTATGGAGTTTCTTTTTGAGGTGATGAAAATGTTCTAAAATTAGATTATGGTGATGGTCACACCACTCCATAAATAAGCTAAAAATCATTGCCCACTTCAAATGTGTGAATTTCATGTTGTGTAGTGTAGATTAGCACAAAGACACAAGTCACTCTCTGATTTTTATAAATACCATTTTACTGGGACCTTCTAAAGGGGAAAAAAAATCTAACCATTTCTGAAATGAATGCATTTCTAGAAGTTAGCTTTGAAACTCACTCTTTTTAAATAAAAAAAATTTAATTTACTATTGCATCTAAACCCCCCCTATAAGATCATGACCTGAGCCATAGTCAGATGCTTAACCAACTGAGCCACTCAGGTGCCCACAATAGCCAAATTATGGAAAGAGCCTAAATGTCCATCAACTGATGGATGAATGGATAAAGAAATTGTGGTTTATATACACAATGGAATACTACGTGGCAATGAGAAAGAATGAAATATGGCCCTTTGTAGCAACATGGATGGAACTGCAGAGTGTTATGCTAAGTGAAATAAGCCATACCGAGAAAGACAGATACCACATGGTTTCACTCTTATATGGATCCTGAGAAACTTAACAGAAACCCATGGGCGAGGGGAAAGAAATAAAAAAAAAAAAAGGTTAGAGTGGGAGAGAGCCAAAGCATAAGAGACTCTTAAAAACTGAGAACAAACTGAGGGTTGATGGGGGGTGGGAGGGAGGAGAGGGTGGGTGATGGGTATTGAGGAGGGCACCTTTTGGGATGAACACTGGGTGTTGTATGGAAACCAATTTGGAAAAAAAAAAAGAAACCAATTTGACAATAAACTTCATAAAAAATAAATAAATAAATAAATAAATAAATAAATAAATAAACAAATTTTAAGGGAAAAAAAAAGTAAACCCCCCCTATAAAACAGACAAATTTTAAAGTCCAAAAGCCACTCTTTCAGTTTAAAAAGAAAAAATGTCTGACTTCCGGACAGTATACATCAGTACCAAATATAACCAAAAGGAAAACAAAGGTCAGCCATAGTCAAAGGGATGAAATTTTTCCTTCATGGTTTCGTTTTGGTATAGAATAACTACCAGATAGAGCAAACATCCAAGTTGTATTTTTGTATTTTGTTACTACAATGCACTAAAGTGGCTCCTGGGAGGAAGTGGGAGATTAGAACAAGAGTTAGCAAGAGCAAGAAACAGGTTTAAACAATCTAATCACTGATATTAATGACGTTACCTAGATTGTGTACATGAGATTCAGGTTACCACAGAGCATCAAGACACTATAAAACACATAAAGGTTTTGAGTTTTTAGCCTCTTCCCCCAGACCAATATCCTTTCTCTACCCCCAGATAATGGAAACAAAATTCAGTCCAAGAAATATACAACCACTAACTTGGACTCAAAGAACCATGGGGAAAAAAAATTATCTTCCAAAACCAGTCATTTATTCTCATTTTAATTCAAGTTGGCTCCCTCATATCACCCTGTGGGTTCATATTTTAAATGTGCTTTGCATATTCACAAAGAAGGTGAGAATCTACATTGGTTTTAGAAACTGCTGGCAATCTCCATTATTATTCAAGAAAGCTGTTTTAATGGTTCTGCCTAAGCAAATAGTATTTAATTTTCCTCTAATGTGATATTGCAGGTGTCACTCTTTGATACCAAAAAGTTTATTTCAAAATGTGTCCTCCAGGTAAAGTACCTGGCGTAGACCCACAGTAACCCAAGCTAAATACTGAACACATAATGAGAAGACCACAAAAATGAAAACTGGGAAATCCACCTGTATTACCAGTCTTGCCATTAATCGTTAGTGGAGGACCTTAAATTACATATTCTTCCGAGTCTCAGTGTCTTCATCTATAAAATTAGACACCTAGAATTAGAGATTCCTTCAGATACAAAGTTTTCTTGATGCTTTTTCAGATTCCCTTTTTTTCCCCCATCTTACTCTTTCCCTATTCTCATTTTTTTTTTCTTTCACCCTCTGTAGGTGGTCTATATCTGCAAGGATACAGGGTGAACGAGCAGATCCTTAGCTTCAAGCAGTCAGTAATTGAACTCAAACCTCCATGTGAAGAGTTCAAGACTTTCTATTTCTGTGCAGAAAATAATACAGAAAACCAACGGTAAGTCAAGGTCTGCATATTTCTTCTTCATCTGCTTTGATAAGTCTTCTTAGCAAAACCCTTACCCTTACTCTCCAACTTCAGTTCCCATCTTCAGTTAACTCTCTCCCTTTCTTGCATAGTCTTCATAGCTAATAATCCCCCCCATTGTTTTTTTTTTTTTTTTTTTTTTTTTTTGGCAATGCATAGAAGATGATTCCTCCAGAAGTACTTTTTTAAGTGGAAAAGGAGTCCACAATTCTCCCCAAGGCAATGGGCTCAGACTTAAACATAAAAAAAAAATCTACTAACACAGTTTTCCATGAATATTATGTTATTAATTCAGATTTGCTGTCTCACCTCCTTTCATATAACTCTTATTGATATGTCCATCCGAATTTGGTCAGTTGTTTGGCTTTGTTATAAGCCATTGAAGGATATAGAACTTACCTATCTAATTCAATATGTTCAGTATCCACTTTGACATGCACACATGGGCACTTGGGTTCATGATGATTTGGGGGAAAAAATAGCAGTAGAGTCAAAAGAGACAAAACCATGAGGCAGAAGAAGGATTCTCTGGTACCTAGAGGATCTTCCTCCATCTAATTTCAGTACTCAAGACGTCCTGTGCCCTCCATCTCTCATTCCTACTATCAACTACTTGATGACCATCCCTCACCTCATCCAGATGCTTTCTCCCAACTGTCTGGGTTAAAAAGATCTAATAAAGAAATTCACAGTCATTTATTAAAACAGAGGACATGGTAAAATTTCCAGGGGTATTTACAAGAACCAAATGCATTGCTTTAACTCAAAGAAATAAACTCTGAAAGTAGAATTTCAGGATTTCTAGCCAGTAACCTTTAGGGAAGAGAGGAGTCTCCCTACCTTCTCCCATTATGTAAACCTTGTCTGCACCACTCATTCCTAAGGATAGGCTAGAGTGGGAGGTTAATGAATATAGAATTGCTAGATATTTTGCCAAGATCTTTTTCCTTGGGCTTATGCTATACAATCTGGGTGGCAAACTAAGATGGTTCCCTTGAAGGTAAGACTCCAGCTGGCATATTAGAAAAAGGGTCAGTAAAATAAAATTAACCCTTATCTGTTAAAATCCACTGTCTTCTCTAAGAGTGGAGGTTGAACAGTTAGATTTCGCTGCCAAATCCATGAGTCAATATTATCGATAGGAAGCAATAGTGAGTCACTAGAGAAATACTTCAAAGCATACGAGTAGAGTTTTGCAAAGTGTAGTTCATGGGATTCTGGCTCCACAAGATGCCCTACTCCCGCAAAATAGTTTTTAGGAAATGATACATATCATATTTCCATCTTAGAGAATCACAAAACATATTAACTTATCAATGTTCCTGACACAGCCTGCTAGAAAGAATCCTGGTGAGCTCTTCATAACTCCCACTACCCAAGCTTATCTGACCCAACCTTTCTTTTAAAAACATGACACGTGCTAATTACCCTTAGAATAAATTCTATATGTGTACACTTTATAAACCATCACAAAATAAAATGAAAAGAAGGAAATAGAAAAGAGAGGGGAGCTAACCTAGAGAGTTTGCTGTGGTTAATAGAATGTAATAAAGGAATATTTTGCCCTAATGGCAATATTTGATAACTCTATATTTGATCAACTGAATTTGAAATTTCTATAGGAACAGTAAAGTACTATTAATAATTGCAAAAGCCCTATAGCTCCATTAATCACTGTCTACAAACATTGAACATTCTTCTCATCCTAGTATTTATATGAACATAGTTTTACTTCTTTGCTAAACATTACATACTCTGCATTTGGTGTTTTACCTTTCATTCAATCCAAACCTAAGGATGAGGGTTTACTATATTGATTTCAAACTAAATAACCGAGAGAAATTATTAGAAAATAAATTTAAACGATTTTTTAACATTTCATCTTCCTACAGTCCAATTTTTTTTAAATGAACTGGCCTGTACTGTTATTTCTACAGCTGGATTACAGCGCTGAAAGCATCTATCAAAAAGTGGCTTCCTTTGCATCAGGCTATTCAAGACTTCATGAATCGACCTCTAGAGGAGACCAGAATGTAAAAGAAACCCTAATCTTAAGAGAAAGGACCCACAAAAATCACTACCAGCCTGTTGTGGGAAGAAACAAAAACATTTTTTATTACATAGCATTCAACTGAATGTTCCTCCAAAACATTAAAATTTTGTGATAATATTATCACTTTGTTTTTGAACCAAAGCACAAACATCTAATGCGACATTCAGAAAATAGAATATCTATCAACACCATTAATATCTCACGTTTCTGCCCCTCAGGCTGCTCGTGTTAGCATCAAAAAATAGTATGTTCCATACCCATGTCTTTTGAAAGCATAAATTCAATAAAAGTTAATTTCTTTTTTGTATTCTTTGCTAAATTTTCCATTCTTTCCTTTGACTGTAGGCTTCCCAGAATGCCTATAGGCCATGATATGGGAAGCTGATATTTGGAAAAATTAACATCATGGAAATGAAGTGGCTTAAATGGTGAATAAATAATACAGCTAAACAAGGTCCTCTCTGTCAGGTCATCCTACAATCAATTAACCCAACTACTTCCCAGGACTTCGCAGATGAAAGAAAATAATAACAATTATTGCTATAAAAATAAGGAAGGAAGTAGGCTGAATCTAGGGGAGCAAACTCAAAAAATGCATTGTATGATTACCTGAATTATTACCTGAATTATCTGTCACACTGCAAAGGGAAAACACAAAATGAGTCACGAATGTCCTGCCCTGGAAGTAACATTCAGAGAAATTCAAAAGTAAATTCTAAGTAGTGACCTCATTTCTTAGTGGAACAATCCCAGTGTGGAGCCATGATGTTGTGATGCACTTGGAAGTCCCATGCCCTTACTAATGGAAGAAGGAAAACAAGTTTCAGGGAGTTCAATTGTCAGATTTAAGTGCTCTGGAACAACTGAAAACAATAATAAAAACTTAAGGTCTTGTTTGTTCACAAAATAATAGTATTTCAGAGCTCACAAAGACCTTACAGCTCAACCCCGGTTTATGGCGAAATCTCAGGGAGGGAGTTGCCTGTTGAAGATCACAAAGGTTGTTAATGAAAGACCAGGAACTGAATCCGGGTCTTCATCCCTCCATCCAGTGTTGTTTCCACTCATCCTACAGCTCTTCATTGTTATAAAGAATGTGTGGTCTCACAGAGATAATGTAATCACCCACTATCCGAAGTTGTCCAATGCTTCTACTCTTTGCCTGAGATTGGAAACACATCGATTCCAGCAATAAATCATGTTTATATCTCTACAATCTCATGAAGAACTTCGTGTTGATTCAAATTATATCATTTTACAGAGAATCTTAAATGTGAAAAAGATATCAAAATTCATGCCATTTTTCATACACTCCTCACCTCTGCCCTCTCCCCCAAAGACTGTGAACTCTTCAAATAGATGGCAACAGTTTGCAGCTGTCATTCACCACAACTCAGATAAAGGACGCGTGAGTGTGTGAGCATGTGCTACTTAGTTCCTGTATTAAAAGAAGCTGCACAAATGAACCCATGCCCCCCAAAAGACATGCCGTAATACCCTAACCAACCTAATACCATAATCAAAAATATTCAATTAACAATAACAGATAGTCCTCTGTTCTGACAATGGTCTCTTTGTTCTCCCAGTATTTGCCATGACAATAATGAGGTCTTTCAGCAGGGGCATCATCAGTAATGTTCATGTCAGAAACCTGGAGCTCATACATCCGCTCCCCAGTGGAGCACTCGGCCTCTTTGGAGCTCCGCCATGGAATGCACAAACTGTGCCGTTACCAGGCAGCCAGCTAGTGACCACAGCCAACTGTAACACTGGCACAGAGCTTTCTCCTGAAGGGGAAAAACAAAAGCAACTACCTCAATAAAGTGTGAATACAATTTTCCCTGAATTAAGCAGTTGTATAACTCACTTGGAAGTAAAAGGTATCAATGTTCAAAGTTACTCCTCAAAAACTACTGTTGCTATTCCTGGAAGATTCTAGAGCTCTAAACAGTACCATACATTATGCCAAAAAAATTTGTGTGAGCATTTTTATGTGGAGACAATTTTAAGCTTTTATATGATTTTCAAGGGATACGTGACTCAAAAAGAACTTTTTAGGTCTAAGATTAAGAACATTTCTCAAGATCCACAAGGTTTCCATCTTTTAATAGATACAATATGGAGGGGAAAGGGCAGGGCCGGTCTTCTACATATGCACTATCTGACCACACATTTTAGGATTAGCCCACCTTTTGGCAAATCAAAGAGAGCTTGCCATGAGTCCAGTGGTCAGTTAGCAATTATTTATTCATTGAGCACCTACTGTGGACCAAGAACTGACTGCCACCAGCCTACTACCATTAGGAGAGGTGAAAAAATTATTAAAGTCTGTTCTCTGTAGCCAGAAGGCCCAAGTTCAAATTTTAGCTCTGTCACTTCCTGGCTGTGACTTTACACAGGTAAACTTTAACCCTCCCTGCTTTAGCTTCCTCATCTATAAATGGGGATAATAGTATCTGTCACATGTGTTTGTGAGAATTATATGAATAGTGTACAAAAAGCACTGGAACAGTGAGTGTCCCCGATGAACTCTCAATACGATTATCAATATCATTAGCAAGGATTGTCAGCCAATAGTCACATCTCTGTGGACTCTTCCTGAGGGAACACATCTTGTCTCCATTTCACTACCCACAGGTAGAGGATAAAGGAACATTCCATCAGGGTTTCCATCTTAAGTGGGCTTAATAGAGAGAGCCAAATATAGTTTCAGGTTTTGTGGGTCATATGCTGCATAGTATTGCCTATTTAGAACCCAAAGACTGGCCTATAGTTGTCTAAACTCTGCTAGCCCAACTCCTTGATAAACTTGGAAGATTTTCCATCAGTATTCCTAGAAGCCCTAAACTAAGTCCACATTGTTCTCAGGAGGTCCCTGATGGGCCTAAGTAGTGCTGATCTCGCTCCAATTCTTGTTCTGCCTCATCTGTTGACTTAACATGCACACTATAAAAGAAAACCCCTGGACTGTTCTGTACTTGGGAATTACATTTAGTGAAGATAAATTAAGAAATATCAAAGAGCACAATGAATTAGAAGGGAACGACAGGCAGTCAGTCAATTTCCTTATTTGCCTCACCCGCTTAGCCTGAGAAAATGATCTCAATGATCCCTTGCCTCCCAATCCCTCTCAAGCTTCTTCCTGGGCTTGGAACAATTTCTCCATACCCACCCTGACTTCTGAGAAAAAATACTTTCTCCAGAGTACAATTGTGTTTTCCATTCCGACCCATGTAACAACCATATAAAACCATTTCAAAGACGTGTACATAGTGGGATGTAAAAGCTAATGAACCTATAAAGCATATTTTTTTAAAAAGTAACCACTCTATACTAACAATTCCTCACAGCTTACATATACAATATTTATGCATGTATCTTTTTGGCTTAAAAATATCCCTCATATGTTTCCAAACCTGTCTTTTTAGAATGGAACCCATTCTTAAGCAGAGATTTTCATTTCAGTGACTCTTCACAGGCTATGAATACCCAGGATGCATAAACAAGGTTCTGAATTATGCTAGTGGATTATTTGATCAATCTTTTGAAGCAGAGTGAGGAGGTTCTCATGTTTTTAATTCCAGGTGTGATGGCTTCAGGGAGGTAGGAATATGTCTGTCTTACTGTATTCCCTGAAACTAGCACACTGTCTCGCATACATTAAGTATTCAATATTCATGTGGAAAAGCATAAATAAATGAATTCCAGCTACTGACCTGATCACAGATGAAAATTAAATCTTCTAATTATGAATTTAGATTCTAAGTTGCATTAGGACTTTAAGGGTTGACAGTTACCGAAAGGTTTTGGAGTAGACGTAAGCATAAAGGTATTATAATTATGAAGAAATGGTGGCATCTATGGAAATTAAGGCAAGAATGCACCTCAGAGGTAGCTTCAATGGTGATCAAAGCATTAGGAAGAAACCTGAGGTATCATCTCTCTCTGTGCTACCGCTTTTGTGCATCCACTTCTTCTTTCTCCCTGCAGGTTGACTTTAGTCGTTATAGAGAATGAATGCATGAATTGTGGTCAAAATTCCAATGACAGTCATGGCCTCTTGTAGACAGTATCTACATGTGAAGATTGCCTAGCCTCCTCATTCATAAAGTCAACAGCCAGAGCATAAGGTAGAACAGCCTATGTAGCAATCATATCTAGGGTCAACATGGTAGGGTGAGCTACTCTGCATATCACCAATGAAGTGTTATGTAAGCAAGGGCCTACACAGAAACACTTATAAGAGAACCAAAGTCAAAACAGAGCTCCCCCTGACCAAAGATAAGATACAGGAGACTTCCCATTTCAGAGGGACTTGCTCCCACAAAGAGGAAAATGCTGTCTTGCCACTCTTTCCAAGTGCTTGAAAGTTGTGTCTTACTTTGGATGGTGGAACCCCGGGAGATATCGAGGTAGCTGCTGTTCAAGTCCAGCTTCTATCATTTGCCGTCAGAGTCATGAGTGATTAGGGTGACCATATAATTTAGCTTCCAAATCAGGCCATTTTGAGAGAAGACACTACAAATAATTATACTGAGACAACGGATATAAGCAGGGAATGTCTCAGGCAAAGTAAGACATATGTCATCTTATGAATAATGTACAAAATGGTATTCTCTGCTTTGTCATCCACTTGGAAGAACATGATTTTAGCTCACAGCTTCCAGTACATATGCTCTCAGGTCCAGTTCCCCATGAAAGAATAATTTTTTTCTTTCAATACCAATTCTAACTAACTCAAAGAGACCAGTTACTCATGACCAAGGCAATGGGTTTACATTACAAGAAAACAGATTCTGAGAGCTCAGCAGCCCTAACTCTGTGTTTGTTTGGAGTGGAACAGGAGGAAGAAGGGTTTTATTTTCAGAAAAATGGAGTCTTTGGGAAGTCACTGGTTGAGATTTTATCCTACTTAAACAAGTTTAATGGTATAGAGGAGCCCTAGAATCCAAAGAATTCCCATTAAAATGACTATACAATTTAGTGTGTTTGCCTGTCATGGTTCCATGGATGCTTGCAGAAGTCCATGAGATCCCTGTGTCTGAGACAAGACTTTATTACTTACAGCCGAAGCAGCCACTGACCACCACTTGTAAGCTGCAGCCTGTGACACAAGTTCTAGCTCTGTCACCAACTGCCTGTACTGCCTGTAAAAAGTCATTTGGCTTTTCAAATATTTAGTTACCTCACCTTTATTGTTGTACTATGCAGACTCAGCCCCAAAACAGATTTCAAAACAGTTTACTTAAGTAAAAGTTCTTGAGAAATTGTTGTTTTTCCTGAGCTCATAAGAGTGTAATGAACTACCCCACACTTTAGAAAGTTTACCATGTAACACAATAAATTACAATATAACTTAAGGTTATGAGGAAAGTATAGTAATATGTAATTAAAATTATAAATATAAAACAGGAGACCCCTTTTTTTGGACACTGTTTAAAAGGTACTGGATTCGAGCTTGACCTTCTGTAGAGCTCCCCTACTGTGTTGATTTAGCAGCAAAGCAATGAAGTGTTATGTTATGAATGTAAGTTTGAAACAGGAACTCTCTTGGGTGAATGCCATTGAACCACATCAAATCTTTTATTTTGCTAAAATCCCCCTCTCAGACAACTTTCCAACTGATTATACATATTTGTCCTTTATGCTTCATCAGTTTCTCAACTTGTAGATAAAAATAAAATGTTTTGCTCAGTGGATCTGTTCAATTGTAGTCACTGTAATTATGACTTTATTTTTAAATGATCCATGCTGTATTTTTCTATGCTGTAAAATAAACTGAATTGTGTTTTGGGGAATCTTTTCTCTACTCTTTGCAACAACATAAGGTAATGTGATCCAATAGTTTTGCTCTACTTTTGTATGGACTTTTCACTCTAGCTTCTCTCACTTTCCTCTGGAGTGTTAATTACATGTGAAATCTGATACTAATTGGACCAATGGAGTTATATATAGCCCTAGTTGGTTCAGCATTATTATATTTACTGTGAATTAGTTAATTATGGGACTTCCATAAAAATATACTGATGATGATGTTTTGTTTTGTTTTTTTCATGAGAACACCTTCCTGATCTTTTGAAAGGAATTTGTGTGTGTGTGTGTATGTACATGCGTTCGTCATCTTTCTTTAAAATCTTACTTAGGAATTCCTAAGCCCTGAAGTAATACAGACATTTTAAGTTCCATGACAGGGTTTTAACTGAACAAAATGTAGTA